TCTGCCTCTTTGTGCCAAGAAATCTTTAAGGGTAGCTCTTTTCAGCCTTTGGTATGGTATTTCCATTAATCCTGGGTGTGTAGTTGTCTCTCTGGGCAATGACGATCATCCCGTCACTTGCCACCAGTTGTTAAGGCACTCACCGCTTAAATAGATGAAACCGCCGTTTAGACGATAATCCCCCTTTCCAGAAATGCAGGCTCTGCACGGCCGACCGCCAAACTCCCGAACTGAGTGTAAGGGAACGCGGTAAACTCACGAACATAAAATCATCCAAACTCCTTTCACGGCTAAAACGGACTAAATAAATCCTTCCAAGTAGCAATCCCCCCAAACACGAGACCAAGCTCCGTCTTGAGGGTAAAACAGGAATCTGTTTAATGAGGGCTACCTGCCCGGTATTTATGCAGGTCTCCCACCTGGTGGACACTCCCCTAGGGGACCAGATGGAAGAGTGAGACATATTGGACAGTAGCCAATCGCAGTGGCTCAGGTTTAAGCACTCCCCTTTACATACATAAATCCCTCCTCTCTATCCTGGACATAATTGGGAAGGAATCTAATTATCTCCAGGGATAGAGGCAAATCGCCATTTTAAATACAACTGTAAAAACACATAAAAATATATCATTATACAAATACCGAATGCATGTGCTTCGTGTAACGTATCCCCAGATAGCCTGGATCAGAGTGCATATTTCTACCGAATAGCGCTCAGATCCAATGCGCACAGTTCAATCGCCATGGAGTCAAAGTCTTTCATATGTCTTTCGGTATACGATGGACTCCATGGGATGGCTATCTAGGCTAAGTCCATGCGTACGTTCCAAACTCCCGAACGGACCGGTGTTCGTATGCCTCGACGAAAAACAATCGTAGTTTCAGCGGTGTTCGGTAGATAAAGTGTTCGTTTAAAGTTCCATAGAACACCGCTGGTCTTTCGCATGTTTAAAATGGCCACCGCCTCGTGGTCGGCATACGAACAACGACCACCCTGCATACGGATAGAATGGAGAGGTGTCTGCGGTTAACCACAACATTCTAATTGGGGCCAAGAGGTTAACCAGCAGTACACTTCACTCCTGGGTGGCCGTCCGTTTGGTAGTTTCAATCGGTATTTCCTGGAACAGACGAACAGGAGCATAAGGACAGGCAAATAGAAGAAAAAGGGTCAAACAGACGAACCAGCAATCTCAGTCTATACAGATGGATCTGTCACACTACCTATAGCTAGTTGGATATTCTACACTTGCAGGATTATCGCTGGATGCTGTTTGGAACTTCGCTACTGGTCTCCAGGATTTGGAACAAGGACATCTAAGCAGTCCAACCCTCAGCCAGCCTGAGGCAACCGTAACAGAGACCTAAGATTAAAAGTCAATATTTGACCGTGTGGGGAATGTATTACCTGATTATAAGAAGACTAGTAGTGGAGCCGATGTTCGTGGATTATGGGTTGCAACAGGAGGCCTAGGTAATGATGATGTTGAGTATTGAAACCAGAATACTATTTATATATACATATATATTTTCCCACCCTTACTTACCTGGTCTGTATTGTG